CTGCCACTGTATTGCGAAAGCGGTATTTACAGCAGTGGGATCAGTGCAAAGCATAAAACAAATGATGTAAAAGGTGAAAGACTGGGGAGAAATGAAGGGCTTTAAATATAACCCTTTCAATGACTCAGGATCAAAAGAACTGCTGTTTATCCTTTAAGCTGCAAACGGCTAGCAAATATCCCTGTGCTCTGATGCTGTAAATAGTAAATGCTGTTTATGGCTAGTCAATGTTTATGTATTTTACGGGTCGCATTTATTTCAGAGGGATCATTTTTTATTTGCCGTGTTAACCTTGCCCGCATCCCACCCCGGGAGCGAGTTGCCTCCTGGGCTCTATTCCCGGCTTTCCAGCTGACCACCTGCAAAGCTTTGGGCAGATCGTGTCCTCTCTCCATGCCTTGACGTCTCCACCTGTACAGTGCCACCGACAGTGCTGGCCTGGACCAGAAGTCCCCAAGGATAGATCTGTCCTACTAAATTCCTTGAATGAAACAGCAATGGAAGAGTTGTTGTTTGTAAAAATGAAGGTCACCGTGCGGGCAGTTCTTTTTCTCTAAGGTGAATGAGCCAACATACTGACTGGATCAAGGCAAAACGTACAGAAGGACCAGGGGACGAAAAAGCAGTAATAAAAACTCTGGGGTCATCCAAGAAGAGGAACAGCTTTATAAAATAACTTCCGCTAGCAGAAATGTTGCAGAAGTCCTGTGGGCAGACACGTGGATGAGATGGATCCTCAGCTGGAGTCCATGGGGACATCTGGCCTGATGGATGAGTGTGCAGACGGAAAGCAAACGGCAGCGAAAGGGATGACGCATGACCACACTGCCAGTTTCTGTCATTCTGGGACCACCACTGGGGACAGCAGTTGCAGCGACTTCATTCAACTGATACAAGTGAGTAATTATCTTAATGAACTGTCTGCAGGAAAGCTGAAGTAAAGCCTTGTCTTTTTTATGTTGTCTGATTTATGCAATTATAAAGGCGCCTGTCCCAGGGTCTGAATCCTGGGAGGTTTATAGGTGTCATTCAAATCAGTAGGAACCAAGGCAGCAAGAAAACCAAGAAGGGCAGCACGGTCCCTGTGGTGCAGAACGGTCTGCAGTGACAGGCTGCTGGAGAAACACCACACATCCATCACCCGGGGTTCCCTCCGCCACTCCAGGGCCAGTCAGCACACGGGCTTACGTCAGCCAGAGGAGATGCCAGGGAATGCTGCCAAGTTGCTGTCTTTGCCCTCTTCAAGGTCTATTTATACCCATTCATGGACATCAGAATACCCTTGGGATAGGAGAGACCTTTCCATCATAGTGGACGCTATGGCTTGATCGGCCTGGTTGTGAGCACTGTTGTTCCTGTTGCATTATGCATGATTTTTGCCAAGTTGCCAACAGCTCCATCATCTTTCTGGATGCCATTGCAAAGCCTGATAGAAGCCAGTGCCAGAAAAATGCTTTCAATCCTCCCCAGGCTTTACTGACACTGTATTTTCTGCCAGCTTTGGTGCTGTTTAACCTCCAGGAGGACTGGTAGAATCAGAAGTTTTACTGAGTTTCCATCTCAGAGAGTATCTTACAAAAAGGTGTGGCCTGCATTGCTGGAGCGAGCTGTTTTGGTTACCTTCATCAGAAAACATTTCCCATTAGCAGGCAGGTTTATCAAATGTTTGACTAAAAGTCTTTGAATGGTGCATGGGAGCACTTCCAGCACATAAGTGGGGTTTGCAGCATTGTCTCATCAGCACCAGCACAAGGCTGAGGGAAGGAGCCTCAAGTTGGGCTCTCCTGTGTCAATAAAACAAAATACTTCTGCAATGGCATAGAGCACAACTCCACCTGCCCCAGCCATGAGGACCACCTGAAGGCAGTCTCTATGGATTTGCTTGGACCTTTAGAGGCTTTTCTTGCAGTCTCAGGTACTGAGCTTGGTTTTGAGAGAAGACCTCCCTTCTCTGACTGTGTCCGTGATATTCCATGAGTTATTTCCTTTTCCTGCATACCTCAGTTTCCCTTTCTGTGGAATAGGGAGACCAGTGAAGTGTGTTTGGTTGTTTCTTTTTTCAGAGCAGAGGGAGAGGCATGTCTCTTCCAACTGAAGGCAGTGGCACCAGAATGCCTAAAGAACAAGAAATTAAACAAAGCAGAAGTGCTCAAAGGAACACACAGACACTCAAAGCAAAAATCCCTTTCTCCCCTGAAGATTTTGCTCCGGGTCAGATGGGGGGAAAAAGCTGCAGTCAGTTAGGTAATCTAACGGACATCTCTGGAGTCCTGGAGCATCTCCACCTCCAGGAGATGCTGCTGCTTCTAAAGGTGGTCAAGTCCCTCTTACATATCTGTTCTGGCTGTGCTGAGGTCATCAGCTCAATCTAGTCTCTACATCAGATAGGTGCTGCTCAATTCTCCTCTGCATTGGAAAAAAAAGCAATGTGTGGAGCAGCAGTAAGCATATTTGTGTGAATTGGTTCTCAGCCTGTATTGGAAAGACTCACATCAGTAAATCAGTTTAGAGAAGAAAAAACAGTGTAACAGTAGCATATTAAAAAGAGTCTTTTATCAGTCTCAAAACCAGCATTGATAGCACCACCGTCGGACTTATTAACAGGCTTGGGACAGCTTGTGTTCAGTTTGTGTTGGCCAAATCATCTAACATTTCAGAAAACCAAAACCACTTCCCGTCTAGAACTCAGCCCCTAACCTGGCTGGAAACTCACAATAAATCCATACATTTTATCAGATTTCAGGGGACTTTTGAGCCAGGCTTTCATGGGGAACTATTCTGAGCCCTGGAGAGAAAATACTGCACGAAGCAGAGGGATCGTCTGGCTTGCTAAGAGCCACAAGACATCAGGTTCATTTAGAAGATCAGGTGTGTACCCAAAGGCTCCACTCCTCATACACATTGAAACAAACTCCATCTCTGCGAGAGATGTGCTGAACATACTTTAGCTGCTTTAGCTGTATTTTCAAAGTCAAGTAAACCTAGAGGCGTAGGGAATGTTTAACCCTGCTGCAGTAACTAAATAGCTAAGAGCATTATTAATGGGAATTTAATTAGAGGTAGAATTTGAACCATTTAAAGAGATGGAAAAGGATTTTTAACACAATTTATATGGATCACATTGAGGAACCCTCTTCTGGTTTAGAAGCCAAGTGAATTGCCAGCATTTCTCCTAACGATATTTTGGGCAGACCCAGTTAATAGGCTTTTGGTCAATCTTGGCCAGTGGAAGGCAGCCTGATGAAGATGTCCCACACCATCTCAGTGCCTACAGACTCTGATGAGGAATCTTAAGGGACAGACGGTGCTTTCAAATATCTCCCTAAACTAACAAGGAGAGAAGCTCGATGCAGGTAGCCCACCCCAAGGTCTCCTCCAGATCTGGCTCCAAGGACTGCGACCAGGGTGGGCAGGTAGCTGGTGAGAAATGAGAAATGGCCAGTTTCAGCATCCAGCCTGGTCTTCAGAACTATGACCAAGAGGGCTCACAGGTAATGTCTGGAAGGTACTGTAGCCTATTGATTATTCATATTTTCAAATATAATGTTTTATCTCCCCACCTAAATAAGCAAGAGGTTTGGCTGGACATTGATGCAAGAAGCTGGGCTCTTCACATGCTTCTGCAAGGTTTTCTGGTTGAATTTTGGGTTGGTCTCTTGCTCTGTAGTCACAGTTAAACCATCGACAGATATAGGGGCAGAAAAAAATATTTTCTGCTTGAAGAATTTGAGGGGTTTGTACTTTTGTGAGTGATTTCAAGCATGTTTAAAAGCACTGGAGTCATTAAGATGTCATTGTGGTACACCCTTCCAGACTTCATGTCTGTTGTTGAGTATCCTGGTCCCTAGAGCGAAGGAGATGAAGCACAGAGAAAGGGAATCATCACCCCTCTCCAGTGATGAGAAAACCAGCTCAAAAGGATATGACCAACATCATTATCTTAATCCCCATATACATAAATACACATCCAGCAAAAAGGGCATGGGGCAGCGCTGACATTTCTTATGTATACTTTGACAAATCTTCCATTGAACCGTTTTGTTTTGTTTTGTCTCACAGCAGAACAAAGACCCCAGGCTGTGGTCTATGTTGTGGAGGATGCTGGAACACTTATTACTGAGCAAATTACACTTTCGTACTGACTTGCTTTAAAAAGTAAGCAACAATCCAAAAAAGTGAGCAGATGCTAAATTCCAGATACCTCTCATCTGTCATCAGCAACACTATTCACTACCATCTACAGAGACTGAGCTGTGCAGAGTCAGTCCTGAACGTGTCGCAGACGGCATGCCTGGGGCAGGATCTTCATCACTGGTGATAATGTGCAAGAGGAAGGAACAAGGTAGATTTTTAGACGAAATTGCCAGGCTGGCTTTTAGAAATACCATCTTTTCCTTTGCGAGCAGCACACACATGAGGTAACATCGGCCTAAGGCCAAAGTACATTTTTTTGCTAACTGACTTTTTTAGAAAGTGAACTATTACTTCCTTGCAACATACTACATCATCATCGTTCAGAAATCAGACAGCAAAGCATTGAAGCCATTAACTTCTTTTTTAATTGAAACTAATCTTTCAAGTCACACTAAAAGCAAAAACATGCAAACACTCAGATATAAAATGGCAGAGCAATACTGTGATAATTCCTGCACGTTGTATGTTCTGGAGTACGTACTATTAATCATCATCATAAGCTGACAGGATGAGAGCTGCATTGTAGTTCATTTGAGATCTTCATTCTTTTTCTGGTCCCTTTCCCTTAGGGTCCTCCTTAAAAGATGCCGGTTAGCATAGCTTCAGGGTTGGACTATCTCAGCAAAAATGTTCTTGCCTTTTTGCCCCCCATGCCACTTCCTAAACGTCTCAGCTGCTGAGTTAGCTATGAGACAGATGAGCAACAGCATCTTGGTAGCATAAAGCAAGCCTGACATGGGATTCAGGCCAGTGCCTACACTTCACATTAGCCAGATGTCAGAGGCCAGTGATGGGAACCTCTGTGGTGCCTGGTGCCAAGCTTGTTAAAATTAGCACTGCAGCTTATTAGTACCGAGTCAAAACTGCCAGTGTAGAATAAGACACCAGCTCCAGTGGTTCACCATCACTCTCCATAGGCTCATAAAGTGAGGCAGATTGTAATAAGCATGATACTGCTGTAAAGTAAGGACTTCTCAACGAGGCTGATTATCTGACAGAAGGCTAAGAGGCACCAACAGCAATACAGATGTCTTCTTTCCATGAGTGGAGCTTAGATTGCTACATAGGGTGGTGGCAATTCCTTGGAAGGCAACTCTAAGGCTTCCTCATATGATGGCAGCATAGCCTGAAAGAGAAGACCATTAGTTATGCCCTGAGTATCACATGAAGGGTTTCAAGTGGATTTGATCTTAGATGTTTTTCTTTACCTAGTTCAAAGCAGGATAAAAGAACCAAATGGGCTGTAAGAGATAAAGGGCAGAAATCCAGAAGAATTAGAGGTCAGAAGCACTTTATAACCACTTTGATGCCAGTCCCACCTCCTTCTCCCAAAGCATGGCTGCAACAAATGGACCGAGGATCTCTAATGTCCAGAATATAAGCCTCATTGCCTAAGCAAAGAAGCTAAGCTCAGATCATTGCAGAGGGCCACGATGCTTGCACAGCAGGAGCACACACTGCTGGCAAGACAAGGCTCATCATATTTGCCAAGTTTCAACAAGACAAATACCTAAATTTAACATTCCATATTCTTCCTCTTTACTTCTCATCCATCTTTACAGCTTTGCTTATTTTTGGAAGCTCTTCAATATCTTTCCATTGTGTCAGAGCAGCTGGATGCTACTATTAAAGAGATCATCAGTAATCTAAGCAAGGACATTGATATTCATTATTTAGCAAACTGTTAAAATGAAGGGCAATGCACCAAATCTCTCAACATTGATCCAGTGAAAGGTGAAGACAAACTTAATTTTAAACATGGGTGGCACTATTAGGCAGAGAAACCAAAGTTCAACTGAAATTAAAACCACATCTCTGGCTCAGAGAATGATACATTCCCATTTATCTGCTCTGCCTGAAGTCTGAGTTTCAGTTTCCTTGCGGATGCCATCAACTTTGAAAGATTTCATACAAAAGTAAAGCTAAAGGAATATAATATAATTGGAAACTGATTATTAGTACCTGTTAATGAACCTTTGGAGGGTTGAACTATCTCTCAGACCACCAAAAAAGCAAAAAGAGGGATCATCAGTCTAAACCATGCCTTTTCATAGTGTAAATCTGAACCATTCTTTACTCACCTTTTCAACTGCTTGTGGGTCGATTTTCACCTCCACTCTCTTGCTGGCTTTAATATACTTAAAGCAGCTCAGGACACATTTGAACATATAGGCCTGAAAAGGAAAGGGTCAGGGAAGTCTGCCATTGCATTGCAAGTCAACAAGAGCATTTCCACTTTTGCCATCAGCGTGCTGCTGTCCTACTCTCTTCTCTGGAGGTAGAAGTCTGGGGCCATGTGTCCCAGGGCCTTAAATCTCTTGATCCTTCATTAGAAAGGTGACAACTCTGTCTATTTGGAACAGTACACTGGTGTGAGAAGTCAATAGGACTAGTAATACCATTAAACACAAAGTACATGCTTAAGACCTCTGAGAGTGCAATGTCATCAGGTAGGAAAGCATGTCTTTCATGTTATTTTTCTCAGTAAGCTACAAAATTTGTATGTCTCAGAAAGGCACTTTGGGCACAACATCCACCTCCCAGAGATCCAAGGCTCCCTGGTCAACTAGGACTGACCTAAAATGTCAGCTCATTCAACCAAATCCTATAGTTGCAACTACACTTTTCTGTCAAGACCGCCTTGCACCTCACAGAGTTACAAGATGCAATAAATGGAGCTTTTCTGAGAAAAACGGATCGATTGATGGATTGTGGCACAGAAAATAAGCAAGGCCTGTGAAACATACCATATTAAATAAATATTTTCCCTACTCTGTGCAGCAAGGCAAAGTCGGGTGCCTCTTATTTTTGTTGGCATAAGACTCCACTTTAAAAACCGTTGGCATTTTCAAAGGAACCTAGGGAGTTATACACCCCCATAACAAGCCATATAGCTTAGGATTTCCTAGAACAATAAGGACTGTTTGTCTTGACACAAAGCCAAGACAAGGAATGAGAACAAGGAATGAAGTATCTGAGTTGAAGGAATCCATCTCTCAAACAAACTTACAGAGATGAGGAGGTAAATCCAAACTTTGACCACCTTTAGGGAGTATTGCGAAAACCTTCCCCCTTTCAAACGTCTCTTCATACAGAGAGCAAACATGCAAGACACTGAAGCCATCGTATAAACTGCACAAAACCCCCCGCTCATCCGCAAAAGAAATCCCAATAAATTAAAAAAAACACCATAGAACAAAAAAAATATTTCTTTGATTTTGGTTTTGGTTCTGGAAGAATTTGCTGCAATGACAATTCAGTATTCTGCACTGAATTCAATGAAGTTGACATCAGTTAAGGCTGCTGCAAGCAATAGGAGGTTCGAGCACACATTAGTACACACAGCTTATGTAAAGGCAGCCAGTGACCTTGACATCATCCCATTACTGGCTAACTCAAAACACTCAAGAGTCACTGTAGGATACCCCTCTCCACACTGTGTTTAAGACTGCAAACTTCTCTGGCAGCCATTGGCATTTTAAGTAGTTGGGAAGCTTGTCCTAGAGGTCAGGAACCAAGCTACTGCAGAAGGAATTATGTTAAACCCTTTCTTGCCTTTCCCATCAGAAATGTTTTATTCCCCTTGATTTCTATATTCTTATCACCGTGGTGGTGGAGGGGGATGACTTTATGGTACTGAGGCGAGATAAAGATTACTTGTGTATACACAGATCAGCAAGGGAGACTGCCTTAATGGTGCTACGTAAGAATCATCCCTTCACTCACTCTACCTTTTGAATACTTTGCAACTCCAAGGAACTTAGACTAGAACAACAAATGATATCACAACTGGAGCTCTACAAGTAGACATAGAACCAGCCACCACACTGGTAAGGAGCTGTGAAGTTGCATGGAGAGACTTCCACGTTGCAACAGGACATGCTCCCTGCAAAGGGTGGTGTTACAGGAAAGGAGGAAGATGAGCGTTACCAACTCCCTAGCATCGTCAGAGAAATGTTTCCTGCTAATAGCATGAGCAAAGTCTTGAAGGTCTCACATGAGGTCACTGGTAGAGGTGTTCAGTGGGGCAGGCGCCTCATCTCTTCTCCACCTGACAGGCTGCCTTTTAGCTGAATTTTGCTATGGTGTGGAATGCATATAACTATTTGGGGACAGTAATTGCAAGTTGGCAGGCAAACAGGACCGGATACACAGAAACAACATTTTAATGTAAGAGAAATGAATGCTTGTAATGAGTCATTAAGCAAGTCAATTTATGCAAAAAGATCCTGGGGTACTCCAACAGATTTAGATGCTACCTTGGTGTGGGCATTTAGTGAATTGAAACCAATGGGCCCTAAATTGGCCAAATGGCCTTTTTAGGTCTAAGATGTTTCATGTTGTTGCCACGTTCCCCATCAGATCTTTATCACTTGGAAGGAATTCTCTCGTGAAAATGGTTTTGCCACACATGGAAGAGGGGAGGGATGGTCACTGAGTTTAAAGGATGGGGTTCCTAAGGACTTGTTTTGGGGAGTTTAGTAGACCAAGGAATACTTGTGCCTGTCCATTTTTTTTTAATTATTCTCCCCCCTTCCTTATTCCTACAAACTCCAGTGCAAGAAGTCATTGCAAGTTAAGCAGTTTTGTAGCTAACACTGTGGAAAATTCAAATCAACCCATTTGCCAGGTCAGTGAGATTTCTGCCGAAGACCCACACTGCCAGGTGGGTTTCAGGGTTATCTCCACTCCTATTGCGCAGTCTATGCAAATATTAAGAGATATATTAAAGTCATGTCTGCAGTGCAATCATACAAGACGCTCCACTCCACACTGGCTTGTCTGGCCACCTGGGAAGAGTCTGAGTAAAAAATGCTTTCCAACTAACAAGCAGCATTTTTCACTGTGACAGAATCTGCTCGAGTACCTGGAAAGATCCAGTTTTCTTAGCTGATCTGAAACCCCTCAGTGAAAAACCTGTTCTCTGATCCATTGAAGCAAGAAGAATAGAAACCATCTCACAGTGGAGTTTTCTGAGATGTAAGCAGGATTTAGCAGTTCACGGGTTTTAATTAAATTTCAGGACATCAGTGCGGATACAGCAGCTTACCCAAGTGGAAGATCTAAGCTGCTGCTTAATGATCTAATTTATTTTGGCACACAATAGCAGAAGAGTTTCCTATATTTGTTTTGAAACATCTTATCCTTCTAGAGATGAATGGGCAGTAATAGTTTCTGGGTATAAGAGAGGTTTTAGTTTATAACTCACATCTTGCAGAAGCATAAAACCAGTGATTTGAATATTAGACCTGCCTCAAACACTATGCCGAGGCATGGGTCCTGTTATGCCCAAGGAGAGACCAACAAGGCTTTCCAATGCCCTGGCATATTTGAGACAGGAGTAAAACCAATTCCTCCTATCCCCCAGGCCAAAGAGTTTAATTTCAGCCTCGCCAGACCCTGCAGCCATTTACCTTCAGGAAGAGGACAGCAATGAAGGCAATGGTGAAGGTGACCATCACTTTGGCATACTCCTCTGTTGGTAACTTCTCCAGGGTTGGCAAAAAGCCCTGTGAAAAGAAGGAGAGGGTCTCAGTCATAAACACTTGTTCCCTCTACCAGGGTCACAAAAAGTGATGGAGCTCTCAGCAAACCTGCCTCTCCGAAAAGTGGGACAGGCTACCTTCCTTTCCTCATTAGAAGGAGTACAGGGATATTTTTTTCCTCCTACTGTTTACGCTCCTTTGGCAAAGATTTTCAGAAGACTATTTAAATGAGAACTAAAAGTATGACTATTTAATAAAGATGAAAAGTTTATGCATTTTCAATGCATGCAGGCAGGCTCTATCCAAATAATTTTGCTCTTCAATTTACGTCTATGAGATTCTTACAAGAAAAACAAGGTGTACTTTTAAGAAACACATGCATAAGCATGCTGTCAGTCAAGAACACCGTGTTGGTGAGAACATATGGAAAATCCTCTTTTGTCATCAAACAGAACACTTCTGGATATATCATAGAGATCAGAGAAAGTTTACTCTGCCTTAAGAGCCACTGAAAGAAACTTCATAGGGGTTCACAACATGAAAAATCATCTGAATTTGCTCATAACCTACCCCATTGTCTGAAGACTTGAGGCTGAGGTAGGTGGGGACCTCCATGTAAGAGCTGCAGAGGGTGAGAATACTCAGGCAGAAGTCCAGCAGCTGCAGAGCTAGGAAAGGGATCTTCGAGTGTCCCTGCTGCAAGAAGGGCAGGGAGCAGGAATTTGGTTATGATTACAAGATTGCGTCACTTCTGTAGATTTTCCACATTTTACACAGCGTCTGTGCCTTGTTCACATTGACAGCCTAAGCTATTTAATGCACTTATACTAGCCAAAATGATGAGCAAACCATCTTGTTGAACTGATTTATACAAGCTCCACAGAAGAGGTCTCTAGCTGGAGCAGTGATAGCTTATCTCCAAAAAACCATTCCTAGCTTGAGCACGCCTAGAATGACCTCCCCAAAGCTATGCGACAGAAAATAAAATCAACAGGAAGATTCCCAGACATGGGAAACTAAACAATGTCCCAAATGTCACTAGTTTTCCTTGTACACCCTCTAGCCCCCAAGGATTGCATCCTGTCTCCAGCCAGTGTAGAAACTACCTCACCATGAAGAACTGTGGCCCAGGATAATTATCCTTTATTCCTACATTACACATCGGTCTCCATCTCATAGAGAACAGAGAATACCACCCCAGAAGTGAGCTGTTACCTACCGTGTGGCTAAGGGAGGACACAGAAATGATGGCTGGGACTTGTATGTAGGAACTGAACATTGTTAGGAGGCTGAGGAGAAAGTCCATGACTTGTAGAGCAAGGAACGGGATAAGGAGACGTTCCCTCTTCTGAGAAAAAAAAACAATGAAGGTTATTTGGGCAATATAGGCAGGACAAGGGCAAGTCCTGCCTGACCAGCCTAGGGGCCTTCTAGGATGGAGTGACCACATCAGTGGACAAGGGAAGAGCTACCAATGTCGTCCATCTGGACTTCTGTAAGGCCTTTGACATGGTCCCCCACAACATCCTTCTCTCTAAATTGGAGAGAAGTGGATTTGATGGGTGAACTCTTTGGTGGATGAGGAGTAGGTTGGATGGTCACATCCAGAGGGTAGTG